TCCAGACTCTGCTAAGCTCATGTTGGTGAACATTCTGCAGACAGTAGCAGGCTCCAGAAGTTGTCAGAACGGCTGCTCTCCTTCCATTCAGGGGTCAAGGGCTTGATCCTTCACTTGGTAACCATTGGAGGACTTCCAGTGAGTTCTGAAGTCACCCTCAGGACCTGAAGACACCGGTACAGGAGAATTTCTCCCTGACCACTCTGTCCCTCCTTCTACCTGCACTGTTGTTGGGCAGAACAGCACACTACAACCCTAGCGTGAATAACTGACCTCCTCCCTGCCAGGGGAATAAGAGCATCCTATGAACTAGATTGTCTTCCAGAACAGGGGTACAACTGGGGATTGACCAATAGTGATCCATGCCTGGCTGCCCCAGCTTCGCACAGAGACAGCCTAGTGTCATGGGTGGGGACACGGGCTCCTACAGTAGACAGCCAACCCAGGTTCTGGTCCTGGACTTCCTATTTACTAGCAAGTTATTTCAGGAAAAATGAGAATAATAACAATACCTCGACCTCAGAGGGGTACAGTCAGGATCATATATGTAAAGAATATGGAACTGTGTCTAACATTTTACAGGCACTCAGTGAATGTTGCTAATATTATTCCTCAACACTGGACTCCCTCAATTTCGTCTTTCTGGCTCCTGGTTTTTCCTTTTAGAAATTCATTTCCACAATTACAGTTTACCTCTTGCCAGCAAATCTTTTTTTTTTTTTTTGAGTTATGGTCTCACTCCATCACCCAGGCTGGAGTGCAGTGGCATGCTCACAGCCACCACCCCAGCGTCGACCTGCTGGGCTCTGACGATCCTTCCGCCTCAGCCTTTCAAGCAGCCAGAACTACAGGTGCATGCTACCACACCCGGCTAATTTTGTATTTATTGTAGAGACAAAGTCTTGCCAAGTTGCCTGGGCTGGTCTCGAACCCATGGGTTCAGGCAATCTACTTGCCTCGGCCTCCCAAGGTGCTGGGATTACAGACTGAGCCACCAAGCCCCGGCTTGCCATCAAATCTTAACCCCCAACATCTCTCTTACCCCCTCATGCCCTTTTGACTTATCTGAGCCCCAGTCCATGACCCCTGTCCCCCTCTCCAAGGCCATCACCATCCTCTTGGCCTCCCTCCCTCCCAGTTCAGCCTGACCCTTTGGCGTGTCATCTCAGCCCCCCTTGCCAGAATCTTCTGTGCCACCTGGCCCTGCTCTCATGGAAACTCTGCCATCCTCAGCCTTGGGTTGACCTAAAGCCCATGTCTGTGCACCTATACCTACAGTTAGAGAAAAATCACACCGCCATGCAGGCTGATAATCTGGTCCATGGTCTCCAGCCTCAGCAGAGCCCTTGGGACACTGACCTGTGTGTCTCTGGCCACCTCCCTCCCCTCTGCCACCAGGCCACTATTTCTCAGCAAATGGGCCTTGCCCTCCATATCCCTGGTGGCATGGAGGCCGTGCCACATGAATCAGCTCCCTTCCTTCTGAGTATTTCCATCTGCCTCTGCCCCATGGCCTTCCCTTTAGGCTGCCAGGGAAGGGAGTTCTTCTTCCTGGGCTCTGGATTCCTCTCTCCACTTCTTCAGGAACCTCTCCCCATCCCTCATCCCTCTCCTTTTTGTCTAGGTCTCTTTGCCCCTAGGATCACCACTAGGCCCTCCTGTCCTCAATAGGCCTGACCCTTCCACAGCACTTGACCACTCCTTCTCCACACTCCCTCTTTCCTGAGCTTCCAAGATGGCACTCGGATTTGTGGGTGGGATGGCCAGGAGCCTGAAGCCAACACTCTCCCACCTCCTCACAATTCACCTATCAGTGCCCTTCCTTCTAGGCCTGTTGCTCAGTTCAGACCTTCAGCATCCCTGCCAGGACTATCTCAAAAGCCTCCTATAGCTCAACACACAGGTAGTTGTGTGTTGGTTTTAAAATGTGAACTGACTGACCACATCATGCCTCCACTTAAAACCCTTCGGGGCTCTTTAGAGCCACCGGGATAAAACTTAAACTTCTAGAGTGAGTCCTTCCCCACCTCCCTCCCCCATCACACTCTCACATCCTTCTGCCATGCCAAACAGACCATCTGCTTATCCCATCCATCTACTTCCCAATGCCTAACACAGTTCCTGGTTCATAAAAGAGGTACGTTCATTCTTTGGGAGGGGGGAGTTAATCATCCTCTTCCACCAGAGTTCCCTCAGGATGAGCAACTTGCCATCCAAGTAGAGTGAAGGAATGAATGGTCAGTAGAACCAGCTCTTAGAGGGTTTCCAGAAACCTCTCTGCCCCTGGCCACCACCCTGGCCCAGGCTGCGCCACCTCTCGCCTGCATTCCTGCAAAGGCCCCCTCCCTGAATGCCAGGCTCAGCCCCTTCAGGCCTCCTCTCACCCTGCACTAGACTGAGTCACCAAAATGGAAATCTGACCACACTCCTCTCAACCCTACAATGTGCGCATATAGTGAGGATGAAACTTTAAACCATGATGCTGAGTGAGCGAATCCAGTGACAAAGGGCCGCACATGATACAATTCCATGTAAATGAAATGCCTGCTATAGGCACATCTACAAAAATGGAAAGCTGAGCTGCTGCTTAGGACTGGGGAGGAACTAGGGGTGGAGGGTGATTAGCTAAAGGGTACAGGGTTCCTTTTGGAGATAAGGCAAATGTACTGACATTGACTGTGGTTATGATTTCACCTGTCTGTGAATCTGCAAAAAAACCATTTAATTGCACACTTTAGATGGGCAAATAGTATAAGATGTAAATGATATATCTCAATAAAGCTATTTTTTAAAAACTTATAATGGTTTCCCATCCCTCGCTAGGGAGTATCCCAGGTACCACTTAATTACTCTTTTTTTTTCTTTTTTGAGAGACAGGGTCTTGCTATGTTGTCCAGGCTGCTCAAACTCCTGGCCTCAAATAATCCTTCCACTTTGGCCTCCCAAAGTGCTAGAATTACAGACATGAGCCACTACATCCAGCCCAGCCATTGAATTACTCTTATCACACAATAGCACCATATTATGTGGTGGATCCTGTGCTGAAACACTCTGTATGGCCCATGACATTACACCCTCTCACAGGTCTCTAATGTAGGCATTGTGGTTATACCCATTTTGCAGATGGGAATACTGAGGAGGAGAGACGTTTGAGTGAGTTGCCCAAGGCCATATAATTGCCTGTGGTTATGTCTAGGATGGGCACTTTTTGCAATATGTTGTAAGGATCTGTTTACGTTTCTCCCCCCTGGAGGGAGGCTTCTGGGAATTGGTGATGGCATCTGGTTTAGCACTGTATTCCCTGCGCCCAGCCTGGTGACCATCAGACCTTATTCAAGAAACTTAAAAGGATATAAAAATACCCTCGGATGAGTTGAGGTCTCACAGCCTTGGGCTCAGGTTCTCTTTGACAAAAGCACCTCCAACCTAACCTACACCCTGCCACCCCCACCAGGAGATGGATTCCAGCAACTGATTTCTCCTGAGCGCTTGTGTGGTTTCTCTCCCCAAAGCCTGTCTCCCCTCCTGGGGCCTTTTCCTGTAACCAAGAGGTTAGCTCTGCCTGAAGTCACAGGCTGCACCCTTGGGGCCTGGCTGTGCCTCCCAGCTGTCCCCAAGTGCAGCAGACATCACAGGATCTCCTTGGAAGGCACCTGCCTAGCCCAGAAATGCTGCCGATGCCCCCCCGTGTCCTAAAAAGTGGGACAGGATTTGATCAGAGTCAGAGTAGGCTTCCCTGCCTGGTGATGGCACCTTAAGGAGGTGTTTGAAGAAATATGGGCTTTCTCAGAGGACAGCCTGGAGTGACCACAGCTCCTGGGGGGCTGGTGATAGATGACTCAGCAGGAGAATCACTCCAGGGGGAGCAAGCAGTGTGGTTCCACCCAGTCCTCTAGCCCTGACCAGCCTGGGCCAGCAGTTTACTTCCCTATTCTTAACCTCATTCTGAAAGTCATCACCATACCCAGCTTCTTTCTCTCTCTCTCTTTCTCTCT